AAATTTTGCTCTGCTTTACAAGTAAGAACTCTTACCAGTTTATCACCAGTATGTGACATCTTCCTCTTATTATCAAGTGTATTTTTTTTGTGTCCATCCCTCTAATTAAACTTCCAAATGCACTGAACAGAAACATCAGAGACTTTGTTTCCCTATATGACATAACATCAAGAAAAGAATAGCAAGAAAGTAAGTACTTTTCCATTGGGGGAGAGGAATATTCATGGATCTGCCACTGCACAGAAGTCTTCTGAATTAATCCAGACTTTTTTATACTCGTATGTTTTAAATGTGGAATTCACACACACACACACAAATATATAGTTGTCAATTAACTAGAATAATGGTTAATTATTAATACATGTGAAAATTCAGAAAAAAATCTCAGTTCAGCTGAGATATATCTTAGTGTCCTGAGAAATTTCTTCTATACTAATTTAGACAGTCTCTTACATATATTTCTAATCTGATCTACACAACATATATAAGGGAAGGATATATTTTATATACACATGAAAGACCAGTGCTTCAGTTACTGAGTAACATTTAACTTTATCTCTTTAATTAATTACATACTTACTAGAACTGAGAAATGACCGATCAAATACTGGTAGCTGACACTGCTGGTACATGGAGATGACTTGCATTAATACACTCTCTGTGTTCAAACTCATTGGAATTATTTGTGATCCCTTAGAGACCATTTAAAACAAACAAAATAATCCCATTAACTTCTGCTAAATTTATTAGATAAAGTACAAAAGCATTTTTTTTTCCTGAAAATGTTTATTTCATCCAAAATCTGTTTCGTATACCTTATAAGAAAATTTTTAGTAGAGAGATCCACTCTGAGGTGTAGTATATATGAAAGAGGTATATATTTGCACTGTGCTGTGCAAAACAACCGTGAATCTTTTTTCATGTATTACAGAGATCAACATACTGCACAAGATTTTAGTTGAACAAATAAATTTCATTTCAGGAGCAGTGTCACTAGCTTGAAATGTTATTCACAGCATAACCAGTTCAAAAAATGACAAAGAATAAGAAGAAAGGTGACTTCAATTGAGTAATTGAAGGAACTGTCATGACATAGCCAAAACAAAGAATATCGGGAAACTGGAATTTAACTTAATTCACAGCATTTATCAAGGTTAATTTATGTTTCTTCCCCAAGCCTAATTAATATAAAGCAGAGTGTTAGCAGCCTTTCAAGAAGTTGGGGGTTGGATTATATATATATTTTTTTTCCCCAAATGGTAGTTAAGCTTCCAGGAGAAAGCTCAGCTGAAGCTATCCAGTTTCTCAGAAAGACCATTATTACCAGGTAGCTGAGCTGGGATGCTGCCTTTGTGCAGGGAAGAGGCTTCGCTACATTGCTTCCTTCCTCTAAGAGGCTCTGGCAACTCTAAATCAAGGAAGTCAACAGAAGAACCAACCATTTCTTACTTTTGTTAATGCTGGTTATCAAACCAGGTAGTGGTAGTGTCTGCAGATACTGGTAGCAGGACATGCTTCTATCTTATATTTTGATAGTTTTCATTATCCAGCAAACCAGTAGAGGGAAAATTAATCTACAATTCTGTACTTAAACTGAGATTTCATTTTAGAACTTCCTCATTTTTGGAACTCATTCTAGCATCACAGAAAATTAGTAATTTCATTTAATATTGTATTTATATATTTATGCAATATACTGTATGCTTTTATTTATAGACAAATCTATATTTATTCAATAATCATATCACTAGAAAACAACTGAAAAGAAAGATCATTAAATCAACGTTGAATTGGCTTAGGTTCTGTCATATCAAACATATATACCACAAAGTTTTTTTAAGCTGATAAGGTAGTAACTCGAAACAAGGTAACTTTTTGTAGCAATTAATGTGAAGAAAAATTGCTTACTGATAGTCATAGGTTTTCAACAGAGACTTTCATGACAATAACTGGAGATATAAATTATGCTTGTTTGGGTGTTGTGACCCTGAGCCTTTATAGTAAATTAAGGCTCTGTAATCCGTAGGTGTTGGCTTGCAAATGACATCAAGCTTCAAAATTGTGAGTTCTATTTTTCAGCAACAAGATCATTTGAGATTTTTCTCTCTTTCTGTTTTAGAAATAACTCATTATTTTTCCACATTTGATTTATTTGAAATATGACATGCAACTGATTAATGGTGAAATCTTTATGAACAACCCCTGGGTATTTCTGCGCAAGCTTTAAATTGAACAACTAAAAAAAGTTGAAAAATGGAAAAGTCAGTAATAAATATTCTTCTGAGCATTTTTGCTGGTCTGCCTTAGCTAGAATGCTTGTATGAAATAAAAAAGTCATTATGAGACAGGACAAAAAGGATCAACAAAAAGAAAATACTGCACTACTGAATACTGAAGGAATTTTGAGAGCATTAGAACACACTCCTGCTGCTAGAGGAGTGTGTTAAATGAGGCACTATTTTTACTTGGGTTACTGAGATTTAAAGTAATTCATCTAAGAAAAGATCATTGCTGAACTACCAGGTTACGCTTTTACTTTTTTTTTTTTCCCCCCCTCTTTTTTTGTCTCTGTTTTCCAGAAAAGGAGAAAGGCACATATCCTTAATGGTAATGTAAGGCAGCTGTTGCTAATTACAGGCTTTGATTTTATTTTTCTGTTCTCCGCATCAGCATTTACACAAATCAAACTGTAGACACTTTGAGGCAATTTTATAATACCTGTACTACAACTACAAGAGCTGCTTAGCCAATCAAAGCCTTCTGTGTTCAAGTTAATTCTCACTCAAAACTTAAAATGCTGCTTCTGCTTCTAAAGCTGTCACTGAAGAGATCTACCCTCACCACAGCTTAACCCACAGACCGCACTAAACTTGGCTTGAAAGCCAAGGATTCCCTTGGAGGAGTTTATATTGCTATATGTAGCTACAGTAAAAGCAAATGTCTTCAAAGAAATGACCTTATTCCTAAATAGATTAGAGAGGCTGTGAATCTTGTGAAATAAAGTTTTTTTGAACTGGTCAGATTTTGTTTTTCCCAAAAATCTTTTCTCTCTTGGACAGTTCTTTCAGATTTTCAGGGATCTCCCTGCTCACCCAGCACTATCCTGAAAAGCTCATCAGCAAAGAATGAATGAATAATTTAAAATAATCTTTCAAATACAAATACAGCTCAGACTGAACTGTTTATAAGGCAAAGATCTGATCAACTGCTCTTATTACCATACTCTACTAAATATATATATATTTTCCACTTCCTACTCTTTCTGGATATTTATAAAGCAATCTCCAGCGACCACTGTGTACTGATTTTGGCCATCCTTATGCCTACAACTCATCAGGAAAAGATAAGACAGTAGACCACAGCAATCAGCAGTTCGATACAAACAGCAAATCTAACCCTTTAAGGATGGCAGGTAACCTGCAGTTCTGAGAATTATTCCATTCTGAACATGGAATGTTGTTAGGAAAGCAAGTACAGAAACTTTTTGAGAGTGTGTTTTGCATTGCTGAAAGTATTTCATTTTCACTGCACTGTGTGTTTTGTGGTTTTTTGTTGTTTTTTTTTTTGGTTCACTGCTCAAAATCTGTACAAATACTTCCTATCTTACACTACCAATTAATATAACAAGCTCATTAAAGTAAATGAAGGTTAATTTAATCATATTCAAGTAATACATTGGATAGATCATTGTATTTGTCTTTTAAATAGCTCGTCTTTCATTCTATCTTCATCAAATAGTATTCTGAATAATTATCACATCACCATTAAAAATGTTACAGCACTGTTACATTCTTATTAAAAATTTCAGGTCACCTATAGCATTTATACAAAATACCAGAAATCTAGACAAAATACCTCAGGCTATGAAGCAGTAAAGTAATTCCTTATAGCACTGCCTGCATTTCTACAGTCTTCACCATTTGGATGATTACATTATCTCAGTTTTATATTCACTAGTCAGGAGGTAAATGTCAGCTGGAATCATTGAATCTCAATTTTTTACACCTTTCATTTTGTTTGATAGGCTTTTTATCCATAGTAATTTATTGCTATTACTGATGAAAGTATAAAGCAAAAAGATGAGAGTGTAATCAAGGCTAATGGTGAACCAAATACCATGTGATAATAAATCAGCAAGAAAAAACTACTCTAGAGATAAATGGAGATGTTTACCATTTCAGTTTGAATACTATTAAAACTGTTTATGTAAAATACAAGGCTGTACAAATAAAACTATATTCTCTTCTTTCATGTAAAATATAACCAAAGATATGTGAAATTAAAAACTAAAGCTTCAGAGAAACAACTCAATTTGCAGTTCTTTTTATAAGCAAAACTTTCTTTTTCTTTTTCTTTTTTCTTTTTTAATCACAGTATGTAACAGTGAAGAGAACAAAATTATCATATGAAGGAAACGTATGGCAGAAAAACATTTGAATTTTATAAACAGGGTCTTACTTTGTTAAGCTCATAGCTTACAGTAATCTTGTTACTTTATCTTTCGTGACTTCTTACAGCAGAGAATATCCCATAATTCTTACAAGAAGAAACTGCAGCATACCTCAACTGACTGTTGAGAGTTACTGTGGTGGTTTTTTTTTTGTTTTTTTTTTCTTTACTTTGTTAGAATATTTTTTTCCTCAACAAGTCCTTTATTTTCTAAAAATATGGTATCTTGCCATTTTCTTTAAAAGAGCTACCTACAGAAAACCTCAACAATTTTCCTATGAACCAGCTCAAAAAAAAAAAAAAAAAAAAAAGGTGAAGGCAAAGAAAATATTGAAATGCACTTTAATAGCTTTTCTGAAAGGCCCTGAAACAGAAGTTAGAGCGTATAAAATCTAATAATATACAGGTAAATGGACAGGAGCTGTATTTCTAGTCTTTTAAATATCTTGAAGCCTGCATACTGAGAGCCAATCAAAAAATGGTTAAGTGTATAGCTTTTCCACCATTCTATTAGGAAAGATTTTAGAAGAGTTAGACTATATTTACGGTACCTTTGGATATTGTTTGACAGGGATCAGAACTCTTTCTGACAGCTTTATGTTTTTGTTGCTGATAACATCAAGATATTTCTTTTCTTCATCTTCCTTCTTGCCTTCAGAACCCTGAAATTTTTCAATTTCTGAAAATAATAAAAAAGAGAGCAATCAGTTGCATGACATTCGTCATCCTCGGAAAGTTTAAACTTCTACATCGTAATATAGATTTTGCACTGAACTGTTTGCACTCACATGACATGTACTGTTAACTTTGAAAAAACTGAACTGTCACCAGTGTTGTGAGGCAGAGGTGACAGTTCACAATTTGCACTGCTTGACTAATTCTTTCCCAGATGAAATTGATTCCAAATGATCACAGTGGGAACAGGAACAGATGAGGCTTATGATTCAGGCAATCAATATTTTAAAGAGGATCACATCATCACAGCTTGATGCTATTTTGTAAATGTGTCCTGCCAGAGTTAGTCAGATTCCAACTGAAAGGGCTAAAAGTAAGACTAGTAAAACACTGAAGAGTTACTTAGAGGCTGTACAAAATACATTAAGAAATAAAAATAAGTCTTGCACAAAACAAATTTTCATTAAAGGAATGCAATAAGTAATAATAGATGATAATGATGGTATGTAGAACATGCTGGTAGAATTTACAAAAAGAACTGTAAAATATGTTTGGGTAGAATAGTTTTGAGTGCTTTTATATGAATTCTTTAATCCCTAAAGCTCTATAAAAGAATAACACCAACAATTAAATTCACTACTCTGCAAAGAATATCTGTTATGGTACTTGAGTTTCCTAACAGTACAGGTACAAAAAATCACAGTACAGGTAAAAGTCACATTTGCACCAGTGTGCAGGAAGGAAATGGCAATGCTCATAATGAGTTAATTAAATGGCTCAAGAGGGACAGTTGGGGGTCTGAAAAACATGCATTTTAAAGGCAAAAAATGCAGGTACAGGAAAGAGAAACACACTGACAACCGTGTGTGACACAAATACAAGCTTATTTGATTTACAAGCACCAGGAAAAAAGGTATGTAAAACAACAGTCAATGTCAGAATTTTTAAATGTTAACGTTACCTATTTTAGATCAAATAATTTATTTAAAGTCTACTTAGTGAACAACTCTTGAAGGGACTTTTTCAAGGCCTTCTAGGTTTATGACAAGTAAGAAATTGGAGCTTGGATGCTGTGTTTTTTTTTTTTTTTTTTTTTTTTTTTTTTTTTTTTCATACAGTTCTACCTTGCACTTGTCTCTAAATGTTGTAGTGAATACTTTAAATGGACTTGTCTTTTCCCCATATGTTGTATTTCACAGTATGAAATACTGAAGATTTTGACTTTTTTTTTTTTCTTTCTGCCCTAGTACCAGTGACACTAATGCATTAATATAAAAAAAAAAAAAATTGGTTTAGTCCACATTCTTTTTTTCTTTTTCTTTTTTTTTTTTTTCACTGTGTATTTCCCGGAACACCCCAGATAACTTTTTTCTGTTACTTTCCATTCTTTTTACAAGGTGGCAGTGATACATGGAGTTGTTTTATTTCTAATCTGCTCTATCATAGAAGAGTAGCCAGTTCAAAGGTAATGGTGGCAGCATGCTGGTAGCAAGCATTTGAACAGTTTCCTTTCTTCTCCTTTCTCCTTAGAAACTTTTAAACTAACCCTGAAAGTGAAATTTGTCCCTGGGGTATGTTCTGTATAGAGCCTCACATTTAATGTCCATAGTGGGACATTAACGTGCCATAGATAATCCAGAACATGTCCAAAGACTGGTCTATAACTAAAGTCAATAAAAACCCATGGTTTACAAAGAACATCATGGCTGTCAAGTCAGACTGTTTAGAAGAAGAGCTTTCTCAGAAGACAGAGGTGATGCAATACATTAATTACTGGACCCATACAAAATGTATTGATTTTTTGTATTGTTCTCTGTTCTGTATACTCCTTGTGTCATTCTGTGACTACGATCATCACAGATGGAGCAGAACACTGTCAGGAAAAAATGAGGACAAGGATCAAACTGCCAGTATGCTGGCTCATGGCCCTGACATGCAGCAAGTTTCAACTGACCTGCCAACCCTCTGTGAAACCTGTAACCACATATAACACACACAATGAAAAGATAACACTTTTCTTTAGATCCCAGAACTTCATGTTTATTTTTATTAATGCAACCATTATACATTTTGTGTTTACTAAAAGGCATGGTTAGTACAGGATTTTGAGAACAATGACAAATGGTCCATAAATGGTCCAGTGACAAATGGTCCATAAGGACCAGCATGCTTCCAGCAAGAATAAGAACAAGGAACCCAACAGAACATTTTCCCCAACACTGATCTTAGGCAATAAGAGAAAAGACAAGTTCCTTGAGAAGAAACTTCACACGTTTTCCACCCACTTTTGCTCTGAGCTAACTGAATTAAGCAGGGAGACATATAGTTCTTCAATTACCTCCTACAGTACCTGTCAATCCCCAAGCACACTTCATTCTCGCCTTTCATCTGTAACAGTACGCTCGCACTTCCTTTTGTATAATACACATGTATCTTACCCCTCTTAATTGGAAGAGAACATGCATATCACAGTCATGCAAAAGAGGTCACAACTAGAGAAGTGTCAGAGAATAAAGGCATTTATAATATCTTTTAGATTTTTTCCCCCCATAAAAATTGATCTTCAGCTCTCTCCAGACTTGGAGCTGCAAAATTCTGCAAGTAGTGTCAGCCTGTTCAGAATTTTTGAGGGAAATAGCTTCTTTTTCCTTTACCTCAGTGATTTAGCATAAAATTGAACAGCTGCATGAGCAACTCTTACTTTTTCAAAACTATCTGCTTTATTCTTACAGTGCCAATAAAACGATGTTAATTATAGTGCACTTCAACACACTTGACACCTATTACAAAACTTTTGTCATGAATATAGTTTTCCCATTAAAATTAGGCATTCCACAGTAAAAACATCCTTTTGCTACACTTAGAATCATGTCAAAACTCATCAAAAAATAATGTACTTCTTGTCAGCCTGTCCAACCTACCAAAAAATGAAATCTACACCGCCCTTTTTCTGCTGTCAACATTTGCCTCCCACTGAAAGGAATTCTACAAGCCTACCTTGCACCTTTCCTATCAGGCTTTGTGGGTTACTGTGTTTGCAGCACTGGTATTGTTTCAGTAAAGAAGCATGACCTGCTGTTACAATGTCCTTTTCAAAGAACCATCAGTTTCCATTGATGGGAGTGATTACCAGAATGGGAATTTCACCAACCTTTTGCCTGTGTGCTGTATTGCATATAGAAAGGTTATCTGCAACTCTGAGAAGCACATATTTTCTTTGTGTGCTTCTAGTGTGGTGAATGGAAGAACATTTGAACTGTAAGAGAAAGAGTAAGCCAATGCTGGTAAAAAAAAACAAGTCCTAAATCACTGACATCTCTATCTTAATAAGAGCTCCTATTAAAAATCTTTAAAAATTACACAGTTGGAACCTTGAATGCCTACAATGTTTTTAAAATTATACAACACCCTAGAGTATTTTTAAAACCAGTAAATACTAAAAATATACACACAGGCTCATATTTCAGTTGTAATTGAAAGCAGAGCTATGGGATTTTCAGGGGAAAAAAAGAACACAACAGATGGCTCAATAAAAACAATTGGACCAATTACAGTGAAGTTGATCTGTGAGAAGAGAACATCCTAAGAGGTTTCCTGTCATGAAGAGGAAATTCACACCCCAAAGGATAGGTTATTTAAAAGTAAAAACACTTAGTATCTAAAAGGAATTTAGAAGGGTTATCAAGACAGCATGATCAGCCACTAGCTCTGAAAAATTAGCCCGTGGCTCTCTCCATTCACCCAGAACTGTATGCATCTGTTAGAAACATTCCTCTCCACTGTATGTACACATATTCATTCACTGACACAGCTAGTAAAGATGACTCAGGGAGAATAAAGGAGTAATACCTGTTACAACAGACACATGTAAGGCAATATTTCTGTCAGTGATTAATACAATACCTGTTAGAAAACGATGGGTCAAATCTATATGTCTATGTGAGCAATTGTAGGCAGATATGAACTTGATTTGTCTACGCTCAGAATCACCAGAAGCTTTGTAACTGCATTAACTCAAGCTGAACTACCTTGGCTCTCAGACAAGAAAAGGGGCTGTTTAAATAAATGTTGGGAAAGAATTTTAAAAGACAAGTCAAAAAGGAATGACAGAGATCTGTAAAATCACAAATAGCATAAGAATGAACAAGAGAAGTGGCTGTTTACAGTTTCTTAGAAGCTGAAAGCATCAACTTGCCATGCTACAGATTGAAAACAAACAAAAAAATTACATATAGCATGCATATTGTTGAAGTACTGAAAACATCCACATTAATAAAACCAGGTATTTCACAGACTTTTCTCTTATGATTAAATTCCATGAGGCATAATGTTCTACTTAAGGTCCTGTCAAGTTAGACACAGATAAAAATGCAGTGTCTTTTAAAAGTTCAATATATACTACAGCCCTTTTTCACTGCTGGTCCTAATGGCCATTATTCCCTATAAAGCTGATATTTTACAAAACATACAGGAAACATAGGAAGTGACTACTCCCTTTAATCAGCACTCATTAGACCATACACAGAATGCTGTTCCAGATTTGTCCCCTTTCCCGCAGAACATGAAAGACATTAAAATTGAGATGAGTCCAGGAGAGGCCACCAAGATGATAAGGGACTGGAGCACTTGCCAAGTAAGAAGAGGGAACTAGACCTGTTTTTGTGGGTAAGAGACAGCTTTAGGGGACCTAACAGCAGGCCCTCTCCCTCCAGTTATAGGATGTTGTCAGGTTCTTCACAGGATGAGACCCAACAGGGAAATTAATAATTAATAGTGTTAAATAACTAAAAAGATTTTTTCAGGTAGTAATATCACATCTTGCTAAATTTCTGAACATCATCTGGTCAGACATACAGCTTTCTAGGAAGAATTTTGAGTCTGATTGCCAAGTAATTCTTTCATGCACTATACCAATAAATTCTACTTTTATTGCCAGGTAATTCCTCAATACACTATTCCGTGTAATTCTAGATATATGTATATCTCACAAAAAAAAAAAAAAAA